ACATTTATGAAACTGTTTATTATTTATTTTATCAAAATTCGATTCATTTAATAGCTTTTACAACTGCAATTTTCTTTAAAATATTACAAACTTGCATAATTCAAATATGTATATATATTAATAGTTACAGTCACGTCCCCTTAAATTTCTTTGCTTTACCTTTTGTTTCATTTAATTTTTTATTTATTATTTACTTGAGTTAAATTTACGTTTTTGGTTTATTAAAACCATGAAGGCTTTATTTATTTTACAAAACATTTGTTTATTAAAACTTGATTAGCGACAACGCGATCCGTTAGAAAAACTTGAAATTGATTGACGATAGATGAGCATGTCTTACCTGTCAGGGATGATGTTGATGGTGATGTAGTGTGATATCCATAACAAACTCTCCATTCACGTGCAAAGTTTGCAAGCTTTACGGCAGTAAAGTTTCATATAGCCAGGATTTTTTTCACATTGTCCCAAACGTTGCCAATAATGACACCAGATATTCTTATCATAACAACCTATAGGAGAGATAAAATAAAATAAATTGCATGGATGGATGGAATTACTGGGAGGAGGGGTATGTGTGTGCCCCTAGTGCCTTATCGAATTCACTTTTGGATTAAGGCAATTAGCTAGCTAGTTGACCTATTTTCCCTATTACATTTCCCCAAAATTGTTTAATTGAACGGGGACAGGGGGGGAGGGGTGGAGAGCTTGTTGATGTTGTGTACACCTAGTTATATATTGCAGGATTGTCCAAAAACTTTTGTAACTGATTGTATATCAACATGCACGTTGGACAACTGCCCATTTCATGGCAGTGCCCAACTGCCCATGGCCTGGAAACTGAACAGAAGTCATTGTGTAAGGTTTTTGTCTGAGTTTATGTTAATTTGAACTCATTGTATTTTCGTATAATGAAGTAATCGTCCAATAGGGATAGCTGAGATGAAACGTGCAACCACGATGAATAATATTTAATGAAGTTGAGACAAAGGTTTTGTGCATGGTGAGGTACAGTTCAACATCAAACAAAGATCTTCTATTTTGTGGCTTTGAAGTTTACCTGGCTCCCAGACCATCATATTTTGACAGACTATAATACAAGTCATATCTGTTTTACTCACCGCAAGCTTGACAGGTCACAGGACAATAGACTTCCATCCATATTGGGTTCTTTTTACATTCTTTCAAAGACCATCTTTTACAGTTCCACACGGGGTCATCTTGACAACCTGAATTTATAAACATGGCACAATCATCAGTCCATGTTGGCAAGCTGTGATTGGAGTCTGATTCCTGCTATATATGCAATTGTCTCATTCTAATTCGCCTCAAGTCTCATGTAAGAGGAGTGATTCCGGTTTGAACCACAGGGTATCTCCTGTTTATTCCTGGAGATAATATACCCAAAATATTCATGAACATCGCTGGACTTCGAACAGTGAAGAGCAGTTGAAACTGATATAGCTAATCCAGTATAAATACAGGTGGTTTAGTTTAGGTTTCCTCCTGCAGTAACACTGGATCAATAAGGTATGACCCTTACTGGACCTTTTATAGGGAGAACAGTTTAGGACTGATAGAGCTATCCAGTAAAAACAAAGTTAGTTTAGTCTAGGTTTCTTTCTGCAGTAACACTGGATCATCAAGAGATGACCCTTTACTGGATTTCTAGAAAGAACTGTTTAGAACTGACAGAACTATCCAGTAGAAATAAAGATTGTAAGTTTAGTTTGGGTTTATTTCTGCAGTAACACAGGATCAATAAGCGATTACCCTTAGTGGACCTCTAGGGAAAACTGTTTAGAACTGATAAAGCTATCCAGTGTAAATAAAGTCAGATAGTAGCCAAAAATGGTAGACCCCTTGCGATGAATTGAAAAGAGGCTTAACTTAGTATAAGGATGTTAGGGTTTGTAATCCAAGTGAGAATATATACATTTTAAGACCTAACCAGGAACGACTGCGAAAAATGCAGCACAAGGTCCTCTGGTAGGAATTGAACCTACGGCCCTGGATTCCGGTGCAGCGCTCTAACCAACTGAGCTACAGAGGCCAGCTGTTGAGCTGTAACCGTAAGTTCATGTATATATAGGTAATCGGGTGTGCGGGTTGTGATAAGGTGGACTTGAATGACTTAGATTCTTGCACTTCACTTGGTGGAATTAATATTAGGATGTTAGGGTTTGTAATCCAAGTGAGAATATATACATTTTAAGACCTAACCATTTTAAGACCTTTCGCAGTCGTTCCTGGTTAGGTCTTAAAATGTATATATTCTCACTTGGATTACAAACCCTAACATCCTAATATTAATTCCACCAAGTGAAGTATAAGAATCTAAGTCATTCAAGTTAACTTAGTAGTTTAATCCAGAATGACGCAATACTACTGCTTGATGCTTACCACAGAAATTGCAAGATTTTGGGCAGAACAAATACATGTAAAGAAACGCCTTTTTACAGTATCCACCCTTCATCCAGTATTTACACACCACATATTTATCTTTGCAGTCTGAAAAAAATAACAAACTAGATCATATATATCCACTGAAATTTCAGGATTAAAATGTGTTGTGACGTAATGTGTTGTGACGTCATTTGTAGGGGCTGAATCGTTTCAACAATAACTCTTTCTAAGGGACGGACCATTAGAAAAGTGATGGGGGGGGGGGGGATTTTCTAAGAGGCAATATATATTTTTGTACACCTATAGAAGTAATTTTTTTTTCTCACTTGATGGCTGGAAATATTTTTTTAAGTGAAATTTACAGGCATATCTTATCTTCCAAGCTAGGGATTTTTTTTTGCACTCTGCCTGGGAAGATATTTTTTCCTAATTTTTTTCTGGGAATAATTTTTTTTTCACTTTTCTAATGGTCTGTCCCTAACAATTTCTGCTTTATAGTCAGCAGTTATTCACGGGAAACGCGAGGTGTAAAAAGTGTTTAATTTGCCTTTTTCAAATGTTCCTCAAAAGTGAGTAAAAAAATGAAAAATTCGATCGTCATACCATGATTACATATTACGTATGGAACAACAAATTATACTTGACTGTATATTCATGTTGCGTGTCTCAAATGACAGATAGGAAAGTATGATATAATGATTGCTTATGATTCTTACCACAGTTCCCATCATCTATAAAGACGTCGTCAATGGCGATATCAGAGTAAGGTGGTTTGCCAAGCGTGGCTTCGAAAACCAGCTACAACATGTAAAAATATTTTATATAATTCACTATTTGCATGGTATCTATTCTACGGTATATGACCACAAAATATGGCTTAAAAACGCGATGATTGAGATAGCAAAATCAGAAAATATAATCCAAGTCGCTGCTTTTAAAACAAAGACTCTCGAAATATTTGTTTAAGAGTATGGTAAATCATGTTTATGTACTATTTAAAAACTCATTAATAGTTCATGAGGAAAGGTTTTCGTATCTCTGAGGATGGTTCTGAAACATTCATACTCGTGCTTTAAATAATACATCGAAAACAGGTATATACAATAAACACGCCATGAAAGTCATAGGTGAAACTATATACATTATACTCTAAATATTCTTCTCTATCAAATGTGGATATACATGAGTTCTAAACTAGTTTTACACATGTTTCCTGTCCTAATGGTCTAAACAACCTGAATTTTCGGTATAGACAATTTCAGCTTGAAAATTTCAATTCAGGGACCATTTTTATCAATTTGAAACCATTTTTAACTCAGATCGGAACGCTGTAGATCAAAACACTGTCGATAGCGATAATCAATAATATAATTACTTAATGATTTTTGAGACGTTCTCTGGTTGGAAATATTTATTTACCACGAGCTTTCGGCTGCAGCCTTTAACCGCGGGCATAGTTATAAAGTCTACCAAAGGCTGCAAGCTGAAGGCTAAAGTCTACCAGACTGAAGGCTGCAGTCTGGGAGCCAAAAGCTGGTGATAAATAAATATTTCAAACCAGAGAACGTCTCACATTTCCAGCATTTCTAAATATAATTACTATTGAAAATACTGGACCATTAGTTAGGTATGTGTCCTCCGTTTGCACGACACCCACCGATAATAATTATTATTATTTATTTAAAAAATTCCCGGTTTCTGATTGGCTAACAGTCAACTGTGAAATTGTCATATCACCTGAATGGCTAACCAAATACGGATTTTTCACATTCATATTAGCAAAATGACGTCAAAGAGTCAATATGAAAAAAATTTGGACGCGTTTGCGCCATACTGATTACTATGACGACGAGAATCACATTGACTCGCTGACGCCATTGATATGACGCGACGACGGCTGCCGAAGAACTAAGGAATTGTTTTTTTCTTAATACAAATAAAATACAAATGTTTGTTTTGAATTTTTTAAATAAATAATAAAACAATTATTGAATTCGGTTTTCGCACAATATGAAGAATTATCAAGCCCTCAGTTTGCAGTTATCAACCTCAGCCTTCGGCCTCGGTTGATAACGGCAAACTTCGGGCTTGATAATTCTTCATATCGTGCTCAATCTCATTCAGTAATTGTTAAATATACCTGATAAGGCTTCGCCGTGTTTAACGTCAACTCTGCCGATTTCCATTTGCCACTTTGAGAACCTCGCTTGGTAAACAAGACCTGCTGTTGTTCACCTTCGGGGATCAAACGCACTGTGAGGGATCCGATCGAGCGACCAAACATATAATAGAAGAATTTGAAACATTTTGTGTTTGGACTAGTTTGAGGCAAGGTTTTACTCATAAGACGAGCAACGTCGTTTTCTCGTCGGCCAGTGGACTCCACGTAGAGGTAAAAATCTACACATAAGAAATAGGCAAGTTAATTTTGGTTAGAGGTAAGACAGACAGCAGGGCCCTTTCTCGATATCAACTGAGTGTGCATCCACACAGACTTGACCTCGTAGCTCAGTTGTTAGAGCATTGGACTAGTAACTCAAAGGTCGCGGGTTCGATTCCCACCGTGGTCAAGCAAACTTTTCAGCTTGCCCGGTGTGGATAAACACTCAGATTAACACCACAAACATCATATTCCTCTGAGTATATAACACAAACACACACAGAAATGAATAGTTGGGAAGCCTCGCAGTACCTCGGAAGGTCGTCTCCAATTGGATGGGGGTTTTCTAAAGAACGAAGCAATTCATTGTTGTAAACACAAAAGCAATTGTCAAATCGAGCCAATGAAAATCACTCTTCCGAGCTACTGCGAGCCTACCCGAATAGTTAGTTTTGTTTTCCTCAACATTAATTTCCCTCGAGAGCATACATTAAGTGTGTACTATAGTTTAGTTCATTTCATCACCTTTCTTTGTAGTGTGGTCTCCATGAGGACCAGTCCCTTCTGTGGGTGTATTACCCTTACCAATAATCCAATTCAAGCCAGGTGTGTCATAGATATCATTCTCCCACATTCCAAATCTTCCATCACGGAAGTCTGTGTCATCGAAATCTACAGAGAAACGGTTCAAATTTTCAGTTAAAACGACTATGTATTGTGAAATAATTCAATAAGATATAATATATAGAATTGAATAGAACAATGCGATAGTAGTTAATAAAATAGAATAGAATAATATGGAATAAAATTAGAATACAATAGAATTAGAATACAATAGAATGGGACTACAACAGAAAAGAACAGACTGGGATTAGAACAGATTGGGATTAGAACAGATTGAGATTAGAGCAAATTGGGATTAGAACAGAACAGAACAGAACAGATTGGGATTAAAACAGAACAGAACAGAACAGAAAAGATTAGAACAGAGAACAGATTAGAACAGCTAGAGAACAGATTAGGACAGAGAGCAGATTAGAACAGAGAACAGATTAGAACAGAAAACAGATTAGAACAGAGAACAGATTAGAACAGAGAACAGATTAGAACAGAGAACAGATTAGAACAGAACAGATTAAAACAGAGAACAGACAGAGAACAAATAGAACAAAACAGATTAGAACAGAGAACAAATTAGAACAGAGAACAGATTAAAACAGAGAACAGATTAGCACAGAGAACAGACAGAGAACAAAGTAGAACAGAGAACAGATTAAAACAGAGAACAGATTAAAACAGAGAACAGATTAGAACAGACAATAGAACACAACACAACACGATAGCACAAGACGAACAATAACAATTTTCATCTAACAATACGCGTTTCACCACTTACCGAGATTACATCTAGGTTGAACACAAAGAATTTTATGTTCTGATGAACCTTTACAAGGCTTTCCTTTATTTTTTGGTTCAGGATTGTCGCACTTTCTTGTACGTAATCTCTTGCCTTCGTTACAGCTGTGTGAACAAGCGCTCCAGGGAGTCCATTCACCCCAATTTCCGTCGATTTTGACTAAACGTAAAGAAGACAAAGTAAAAATTGAACCAGGCTTATAGCCAGAAGGGCGTCCAGGCGTCCTGGGACGCCCCTAGAACAAAAAGTGGACGCCTTTGGACGCCCAAATTCTGGGGGAAAAGGGAAATTATTTTCAATGATTCCCTAAGTATATTAATATATCCGAAACGAAATAGCTTCAATTCTCATTATTATTATACATTTGACATTTTGATCAATTTGATGGCGTACCTGGCGGAACGAAAATGTCGTAGTTAAGTAAAGAGGCAATAGTGGCACAAACTCACAAAGCCAAGTGTGTTCAAAAAATTTCAAACGAGGTTGGAAAGATACTAACAAGAAGTAACAATTTTCCAAAGGAACGTTTTCTCGAACCCCCATACCCCTCTTCACTATAGATGTATCGTTATGTCAAAATTGGACGCCCTCTTTTAGAACCCTGGCTAAAAGCCTGAATAGAACATTAAATTACAAAATCTACGATACGTATTAAAATATAGACTTTTGTTACAGTTTTCCAAATTTTTATGTAACAAAATGATGAAAATTTAAAGCTACAAGAAAGCCTATAATCGCATTTTTTGCAACTGTTCTGGTTAGGTCGAATAAATGTATAAAAATTCCACTTGAAACATTTCCATCAACAAATCTCTTCAACAGTTAGAAACTTATTAAAGGCCTGTCCAAAAAATACGATTAGTTGTGTACGGCTGTCATTTTGGCGTATGAAAATTACAGCCAACGTCACAATTCCTCGTGATTTATTTTATAATAAAATTTTTCTGCGCGTGCTTATCCGATTAGGGAGCGGTCATTATTTATGGCGAGAGGTGGCACCGAAGAGAAAAGGGTTGGGTAAACAAAACATTTGAGTGAGTAAAAGGTTGGGTAAATGAAAAACAAAACAACTCAAGGGTTTGGGTAATAAAAATTAAATGAAAAACAAAACGACTCAAGGGTTGGGTAATAAAAATTTATTGTCATTTCCGAAGCACGAGTCACTCAAATATTAAAGACTAAAAAGCAATGTCAACAGTCATATATCAACATAGCATGTAAATCAATCAGAGTCACTATCTTGATCAGTTTACCATTTGTCAGGAGGCAAATGGTGTCTCTGAAGAAAATACATATGCAGACCACATAAAACTTTAGACTGCAGAAAATTGCACAAGCAGGTATCAAACTCATGTCACAGAAGTGGTAAAGGAAATGTGTGACAGCTGAATGGTACCACTTTGTAACGTTTTTGGTCTGGAGATGGGTATTTATTTGTCAACTGATATTTGAGGTTAGGTAAAAATTTTTGTTTGACTTTTTAATGGTCGGATCAGCAATATTTCTAGCAAGAAAAACATTTCTATTCGGTGCGCGCCCCCCTCCCTCCCAGCCGCCGCCATCAATAATGCCCGCTCCCTTAGATACATAAGAACTTATCATACTAGTTCCACTTACGCGGGCACTCATCGCTGGAACATTTCACATATTGACTGTCGACTCCATAAGGGTTGGGATTCCCTCCGCAAGATGTGGGAGTCTTGCCATAGCAAAATCTTTGTCTGTTTTTATAACAGCGGTCATCACAAGGGCTGTAAGAACTCCACGGTGTCCATTCGTTCACTTTGTTGGCTACACAAAAATTGCAAAAATTTTCATGTTTGAACATCTCGCAGTGCACCGACACAATTCTGTCGCCTAATCAAACCATATCAACGACAAACGACATTGAAGGTAAATTTTGAATAATTGGGAGCAAAAATTTTTCAAAAAGTTTGTTGTGTCAATTCCCAGGTTCAATTCCCAGGTTCAATTCCCACCGTGGCCGATCAGGTTCGATTCCCACCGTGGCCGGGCATAATTTTCAAGCTCGCCCGGTGTGGATATACACTCAGAGTAACATCACAAATATCATATTCACCTGAGTACACAACACCAACACAGAAATAAGCTCAATATATCATTTTACAACATAGTATCCCCCCTTTTTAAATTTTTTTAAAAATTTGACCAAAATTTAAAAATTTTTCAAAACATGTTTTTATCACTCCTAAGTAAAATTGTCCCGATGAAAGAAATGGTTTCGACAACTTTCAGAAAGTTTGCAGCAGGTGGAACCATTTTTTAAATTTTTTACAAAATGTTGTGTGATCCCCCTTTCTCACAATATGGCTACCCCCCCCCCCCCTTGCATGTGACCAAAATTTGATAGCCGGCCGCTTTTGGAAACCCTGATGAGCCATAGAGGCAATACACAAGAAGACTGGACACTAAATAAAGGAAGATAATTCAAATACAAACGACGTTTACTCACATTTACAACGATACAAAGCATCCAGCTCAATGATATCGAGAACACTCATCTGGGTGTTTCCAAGTTCAATTTTACCTCGGGTACCTATGGCTGTTATTGTTTCAAGTTCGGCAGATTTACTAAACGCTTTGGATCCGTAATGCATTATGCTTTTGTAATTGTAGTTAATCTGTAGATGGGCAATTAGGTCGTGACCGTATTGTAGGAACTCATTTTCAAAACCTAGCAAAGATAAACAGACAAAAGTGCAACGCAATTCATTGACAGAGCCATGCTATCACAGAGAAATTTAAGCATGGTCCACAATCTACACACGTAAAAACGTACAAATTGTAAAATAAAACTGCACCAGACTTGTAGCAATTCAATGCTGTTCCAACAACTTGTCAACAGAATGGGTTCGCACTGCTTGTTTTCAGCTTGTTGACAAGTTGTCAAAGGCTTGTTGACAGTCTGTATTGCAAGATTGTTCAGCCCAACAGACTTGTTACAAGTTGTTCCAACAACTTGTTATCGTTCTGCATTTCAACAATTTGTCAACAAGTTGCGATTGACAACCTTGTATATCAACTTGATAAAATGACAACATTGTTACAACTTGTTGCCAAACTCGCTACAAACCTTTTGCGAACACATCTTGTTGACAAGTTGTGAGATTTTTACGTGTACTCCGGCGACAATTTCCTTACATAACACACTTTTACTTTAAAAACTTTTAACTTAATTACCTGGTTTAATATTCTGCCAATGAATCTCGACATGGTTTTGTCTGTCGGGTCGACTTTGCTCGTGGAAAAATCCTATGAGAGTCAACAATATTCAAAGTATATACTAAATCCTTACAGAGGCTGGTTGTCGAGATGTAAGCGCAGTTGGTTAAAGCGCTGCACCGGAATCGCAGGGCCGCGGATTCGATTCCTGCCAGAGGACCTATGGTGTTGCATTTTTCGCAGTTGTAAGTTGGATCATCTAAGTGAGCATATATATACACAATTTAAGACCTAACCAGGACCTGGTTAGGTCTTAAATTGTGTATATACAGGGTGTATCAAAAAAAACTGAACAGATTTGAAATTGCTCTCAATTTCGCAAAACACCTATTTTTACCTGTTTTTTTATATATATAGCTTCTTTGGGTACTTATAATGTAAAATAATGAAAAAAATTTCTCGAACTCAAATTTTGTGAACCAGGGGGGTGTGTCTTTTCCAACAAACTAAAAATGGCTCGCGCACAAAATTTAAAAGCTGTAATAATATTTTGAGTTGATAGATTGAAAATTTGTCGGGTTTTTAATTACTGTACAAAATTTCAGACAATTTGGTTTAGTTTAAGCCCTTTAACTATTCATTTTGTTCTAAAAAGTCAGCCTTTCGCATGCTTAATTAATGCCTTTACCTAATTTGCATATTGCCGACATATGCAAATTAGGCAAATGCATTAATTAAGCATGCAAATAGCTGATTTTTCGGGAAAATTGTAACTTTGCGTGAATAGTTAAGGGCTTAAACTAAACCAAATTGTCTGAAATTTTGTACAGTAATTAAAATCCCGACAAATTTTCCATCTGTTAACTCAAAATATGATTACAGCTTTTAAATTTTGTGCGCGAGCCATTTTTAGTTTGTTGGAAAAGACACACCCCCTGGTTCACAAAATTTGAGTTCGAGAAATTTTTTTCATTATTTTACATTATAAGTACCCAAAGAAGCTATATATATAAAAAAGCAGATACAAATAGGTGTTTTGCGAAATTGAGAGCGATTTCAAATCTGTTTAGTTTTTCTTTATACACCATGTATAGAGTTAAATAGACAAATGTCGTAAAACTAACCTCTGTGCAAATATTGAAATTGCAGAATAGACAGCAACTGAAATCAGGCAAACATTTCATTAAATCCTTCGACACACTTTGTTCTGCAGCCAGCGATTGAGTCAAGTTGCAAACGACCAACTTTATTCTCAGATTTTTCGATTTGCAACGTCCCGTTATATCATTCACAGTTTACTGTTGAAGCCATTTTTCAACATGATATGCAAATTACGAAGGAAATAGAATAAACCATTTTCTGCGAAAATACAAGCTTCTCAAAGCACTAATTTAACTACTTAAAAGTACCAATTGAAAAATCTATTTATTCAGTGGTGCAATCCAAGTACAACCACCTCAGCATGGACAAACAGAAATGGAATATCTTGTGACGATGGACAGAAATGCACGCGCTCAGATAAATGTACAAATGGTCAATGTGGCGGGATCAGTTTTAAGTGTAACACACTGTGTCAATACTGTGATGGAAATGGTTGTAGTTTGAATACAGGTTTTGGATATGTTGCAGGAAAATGTACTTGTAAAATAGCAGGTGAGTGGACATATAACAATAAGGCACGATACCCGAGATAAAAAAAGTTAGTTTAGTCTAGTGAAAGTGGTCTGATGATGATGTTACTTGTGATGGTATGGAAATGGTAATAGTGATTTTATGAAGTTTCTTAAAGTTTTAAACGTTTTAACAGTAAGGCATAATACCCGAGATAAAAAAAAGTTAGTTTAGTTTAGTGAAAGTGGTCTGATGATGATTTTAATTTTGATGGTATGGAAATGGTAATAGTGATTTGATGATCATGATAATGATGGTGAAAATATGTTGGTGATGAAGTGGTTGCAATGTTGATGGTAGTAATTTAAATACAAAGCTGTCATTTGCACTTCGCTTGGTTGAACTAGAATGCTGAGTTTGGTGGTTAATCCAAGTGAGCATATAAAAACACAATTTAAGATCTAACTAGAAACCGTTGCGAAAAATGCAACACTAGGTCCTCTGGCATTTTATACATTTATTACGACCTAACCAGGAACAGCTACGAAATATCTCTGGCAAGAATTGAAACTGCGTTCCTGCGATTTCGTAAATGTGTCACCTGCGTGGCACCCCACATATATAAACACACAAAATTACTGACTGGGTCAACTAAGATCAAACTTACATTTCTTGGTAACAGGTAAAGATTACAACCATCAACAGCTAAACCCAGGCAATGAATGCCAATGGTGCGACCTGTATGACAAAGCTTCCAAAACAAGCTCTGTGTGGACCAACAAACCCGCGGTTTCTTGTAACGATGGCAACGCCTGTACGAAGCAAGATCTCTGTCAAAGCGGCCGATGTGTGGGCAAGGCATACAGTTGTCAATCATCCTACGCACAGATCAGTTGCATACAACGCTCTGAGTGTGTGGGAGACGGTACTTGCAGGGATATCATGAGAACCAAAGGGACAATATGCCGTCCAGCTGTGGATAAGTGTGATCAACCTGAAAGGTGAGAGGACAGTTCGGTCAACATGCATGACGATTTTTTGAGAGCTAAGTCTTGGAAAACTACGAAACATTGTTTCCAAGGCATGTTTCCTAAAGGTGGGCAAAACAAGAAACATTGTTTCGTGGTGGACAAACATGGGAATATTGTTTCCTAGTCATGGTTCCTAAAGATGGGCAAACCAGGAAATATTGTTTCCTAGAAAAGGTTTCCCGAAGGTGGGCAAACCAGGATACATTGTTTCCTAGTCATGCTTCCCAAAAGTACACAAACCAGAAAACATTGTTTCCTAGCCATGTTTCCTGAAGGTGGGCAAACCAGGAAGCCCTGTTTCCTAGCTATGTTTCCTGAAAGTGGACAAACCAGGAAACATCGTTTCCTAGCCATGTTTCCGTAAAATATTGCATGAAATTTAAGGCAAAAACTTTCAGCAACAAAAGGTGGCAATATGCTGGCAACCTAAATCCCCCCCCCTCGCCAATATTTCACGAATGACGCGAAGTGCCCGCTACTGGTAGGTAAAAAGAAGACAAAATAACATGACCAAAAATAAAATAATTCAGAGTCTAATTTCTCTTTCACAGATGTAACGGTGCACTGGGGACATGTCCACCACGAGTTGTCAACACAATTAAACTCCAAGGAGGGCAATCTGCTTTAACTCTTTCAAACTTTGCAAGTTCCATCGCATATCAACCAACCACGGACAAATTCTACCTCAAACTAACTGGTTTTTCAGTAACATGTGGTGCCCTCACTATAAAATGGTCTTTACTGAAAGGCAAAGACAGCTGTGCTCTTGGTAAAAACCCCGGTAACCTGCCCAACACAAACAACCACGTCCTTAGCCGGTTAACTTTACAAAACGACGAGGCATATAAAGTGGTTGTACAGACTTACGATATTCGTGGACAGTTTGGGTTGCCTGTATGTAGCAACGCGGTTACCATAGATACCAGCAGGCCGAGTGGAGGATGGATTCGCGATGGCCTGGGCTCGACAGACGTTCAATTCCAATCAAGTAAAACGATCAGTACAACCTGGGGTGGTTTTAAAACAACTCATGGTATAGCAAAGTATGAGATAGCTGTGTACCATAAAAACACTGTCTTACAATCTTTTACAAATGTCAACCTCAAAGCATCTTTTTCCAAAACATTTTCAGTAATCACAGATGGCAGTAACATTATCACAAAAGTCAGAGCATTTACAAAGGCAGGTCTTTATACGGAAATTTCCAGCAATGGAGTGACGGTCGATACCTCCAAGCCTAAACCAGGGACGGTCTCGGACGGCCCGTCCTCCGATCTCAAGTATGCTAGCTGGACTAAGACCTACGATGCAAGCTGGACTCAATTCACTGATGCTCACACACCTATTGTCGAGTACAAGCTCGGCGTGAAAAGAAAAGATGGCGGATTGGTTTCGTCCGGGTTGACTTCGATCGGTCTGGGACGTGTCGGTCAAGTGTCGGGATTGACTCTAACCTCGGGGGTCCAGTATTGTGCTATTGTGGAAGGGGTCAACGCGGCCGGTCTTAGTACCCAGGCATCTTCCGACTGTCTCCTCATAGACCACTCTGCACCGCGACCTGGCACGGTCAATGATGGAACCTCGGAAGACGTCGACTATCAATCGGCGGACAACGTATTCCACGCAAACTGGAATGGATTTGACGACGGGCAAAAGGGTAGCGGACTTGCGGAATATAGATACAAATTAACGGATAAGAATAACAAAGATATTACGTCATGGGCTTCTGCTGGTCTTCAAACTAAAATCACTATTACAGGGTTAAGCCTTTCAAATGGTAATACGTACTATCTGACAGTACGAGCAGTTGATAAAGTCGGACATTACATTGAAGTCAAATCAGACGGAGTGTTTATCGATATAAGCCATCCAGTTTATACAGGCAGTTTGAGCGTCCAGGGTGAGACAGCTCAAAAGAATGGCGAGACAGTGGTGTATATCAGAGATAAAGACTCCGTGAAAGTCTCCTGGCCACAGTTTGTAGACGAACATAGCGGGATGAGGAAATATCAATGGACTATTGTCGAGAAGAATGTGCAGCCAACATCGTGGAAAGATGTACCTGGAGTTAAACTTGCTACCCAAGCTGTTCTAAGGTGAGAATTCCAGCTTTTCGCCAAGCAATCACTATGAATAAGCTGCTTTAGCATATACTCCAGAGATGCATTAGCATAGTGCTTTTCCCACAATTTCATTGATTGTTCAGCACCAGATATCCTTGCACTATTCACCTTCGGACAAAAACAATATGTCTTCCCGTTGTCGTCCGGTATAAACAGGCGAGCAAATCTTTTACTAAACCAAGCTTCAGTTTCTCCAAACACAAAGAAAGCTACAAAGTTTTGTCTAACAGTGTGTATAGGTATTCTTTAAAATTATTTCCAATGAATAAAACCACCAAAAGATTGTAAATACTGTTTTGATATTCGCTGTGTTAATGTACTCAGGTGAATAAGATGCTTGTGCGATGTTACTCTGAGTGTATATCCACACCGTGTAGGCTCGAACCGACCTGACCGCGTAGCTCAGATGGAAGAGCATTGGGCTAGTATTCCAAAGGTCGTAAGTTCGAATCCCACCGTGGCCAGTGATTGTTTTCAAGCCTGCCCGTTGTGGATATACACTCAGAGTAACATCACACAAGCAAAATACTGTTATATTTACGACTATGGAGGGAAGCTGTAATTCAAATTGTTTATTTCCGTTGCTTTTTGATGGTGTTTGCTCTGTTATCAAAGACGCCAAAACAATCGCCCTTGCTAAAAATTTGCCAGAGTGCCATATCAGATCGAGGCGAAGAGAGAACGTTTGTCCTCTTCGACAACCTTTGTTCTGTTCAAATAATATATTATATGTATACATATTATCTTTCCACTTTGTTTCAATTTAGATCACTCTCGCTAACAAACAACAAAGAATATCAACTGACTATACGTGGCATTAACAACGCTGGTCTTTATGCAGACATAAAATCACCCCTACTCATCCCGTTAAGTGAAACTCCCGATCTCGGTAAGGTGTCGGACGGCGATGACCCGACGATAGATATCGATTACCAAACGAACACATCCGAAATTTACGCAACTTGGAAAGGTTTTGAAAAACCGAGCGTTAAAGTTCGAGCTTACTTTATTGCTGTCGGTAGCTGCATCAAAGGAAACTATCACGTGACTAATAACCAGTTTATACCGGTTAATCCAGCCACGGCTACCTCGTTTGGAATACAAGGACTGAGTCTGATAAACGGTCAGAAATATTGTATTAAAATCAAAGCAGAAAATCTAGCCGGGATTCAAACTCAGCCTGTCTCCTCGGACGGATTCATAGTTGACGTGAACCCCCCTGATCTGAAACGGGCGATGGTATTAGACGGTAGTGGCGATGATGATATAGATTATCAGTCAAGCAGGAGGGAGTTGTCTGCTACCTGGACCGGGATCCATGATCACGACTCGAGGATAAAGAATTTCGAAGTTGCAGTCAGTCGGAATCGGGTTGGCCAACCAGATGTGAAGTCATTCATAGACGTTGGCCAAAACACGTCAGCAAAAATATCTGGGCTAAGTTTGCACAACGACGTATATTACGTGATAGTGTGTGCTATAAATAACGCAGAATTAAAGTCATGCCTAGCTTCGGATGGAGTCCTTATTGATCCAACCCCTTCAACATCCGGTGTAGTGCACGACGGGATACTAGAACCGGATGTTCGTTACCAGTCTTCCACGACAAAGATGAGCGCGAACTGGGAACGAATCTGGGATTTGGAAAGCAGAGTGGAAAGATTCGAATGGGGGATTGGGGAAAAGGATCCGGGATCTGTGTTGAACTTTGTTGATGTAGGTCTACAAACTCACGTGACAACTAAGAAAGTGTTATCTCTACAACATGGTCATAATTACACAGTATTCTTGCGCGTGTACAACAGAGCGGGAGGTGTGCGTGAGTTGAGATCCAATGGAGTCACTATTGATACCACTCCCCCCACGGCGAGTCACATTACGCTGGGATCAGAGTGGCGTTTCGCCCAAGAGACTGGGACCTATTATTCATCTACTGCGTCGGGTATATACGTGACATGGGGCAATTTCAAGGAACCTGAGAGTGAAATATGGTACTACAAGTGGGCGATAGGGACATCAAAATGCGGCACGCAGGTTCAACCGCTCATAAACATCGGTTCAGCGACGAGTGCCAACACTACCGGAAATGAACTGGACTTCAGGTCAGGAGTGCCTTATTACGTCACAGTGGTAGCGCGAAACCGAGCCGACCTCGTATCACGTGCTTGCTCGTCACCACTCCTTTTTGACCACACTCCGGCCAAGGCTGGCAGCATCCGGGTAACTTCACATACGGGGACCGAGAAAACCTACTTCAGTTCTGACGAGGACCCACGCGTAACCTGGTTCGATTTTGAGGATATGGAAAGCGGAATAGAAATATATGAAATTTCAGCAATGCAATCTAATACATCCGTGCTGAACTATACTTTTAACTCAACCCAAGTCCAGTTTGACATTTCACTTCGTAGCTTGCCACAAGGAACGGGATATACCATAGTCTTTAAGGCTATCAACTATGCAGGACTAGTAACCACAGTTTATTCAAAACGTTTCACCATAGATAACACTCCGCCATTTTATACCGGACTTGAAGAGGCACTTCCTCGACGAAGCTACCAGTCTCATTCCCACACACTTAAAGTATCTTGGGAACGATTTGCAGACAATGAAAGCCCTGTAGAATTTTATGAAATCGGCGTAGGAACAAGGGCATTCCAAGACGATATACACGAATTTACCAGAACTGGTTTGCGTAAAGATTTTGAGTTTACTGCTTTGGATCTAAAGGATAATCAAGGATATTATGTTACAGTCAGGGCTAGCAATGCAGCAGGGCTCATGACGTCGTTGTTATTACAAGTTCTGGTCGTTGACCAAACTGCACCAACAGGACAAAATGGAAGTGTCAAAGATGGACGTTCAGAACGCGATATTGATTTCATCTCGATCAATGATTCTGTCTCTGCCACTTGGGAGAATATCACAGATCTAGAAAGTGGTGTAGATAAGTTTGAATATTGCGTGGGCACCACTCGCTTCAATTGTTTGATCAAACCGTTCACTTCAATAGGACAAAACACATCATTTGTATGTCAAGACTGTAAAATACACGGGGATGTGAAAGTGTTTTCGAGAGTCAGGGCGACTAACAAAGCGGGGTTGTCCGCTATATTTTCTTCAAATGGCGTCACTGTGGATTCCAGTACTCCGCAAATAGGCCGCGTACTTGATGGAGATAGGGCAGCAAGTCCAGACGTTGAGAAGGTCGATCGTGATTGGCTGCCTACAGTCACGTGGTACGGAGCACAAGATATTCAAAGTGGACTTCGGGAGTGTCAATGGATCATCCTGAGGCATGATCGGAACGGCAAGCTTGTCGTTTATGACAAAACCATTGATGAAGCTAACACAACGTATAACGTACGTCATGCGGAAAGAGCCGCTGACCCACTACAATTAACCACCAATGCTTCGTATTTTAATGCCATCCGCTGCACCAATAACGCGGGTGTCACTAGTTACCAGTACTCTAACGGTTGGTCAGTAGTCGACCAATGGCCTGTGACGTCATATGTTTATGATGGACTTGGATCATGTGATTTGGAATATGACATCATTGGCGAAACACTTGGTGCGTCATGGGGAGCATTCTATGGCGATTCAAAAGACCCAGTCATAAGATACGAGTGGGCTGTGGGGACTTCAGGAGCACCCGAGGGTATCATGGAGTACACAGAGGTAGGATTGGATACAAGAGTTTCAAAATCGCTATCTGACAGCGACATCGAGCTGCAGCCTGGTGTAAGGTATTACGTCACTGTCCGTGCGACTTCATTGAGCGGAAGGACTAGTAACAAGTCTTCAAACGGATTCATTGTGGACAAGACCGCACCGACGGAAGGCGTGGTTACAGTGGCTCACAAAATTTTGAACCAAACTGCAAATGAAGTCGATTATACCCTAACTTGGGATGGTTTTAAAGATTTAGAAAGCGGGATTCGTGGTTATGAGTTTTGTTTGGGCTATATCAAAGATGTCTGTTCGACTGCCCCTACAAATGCCGGTTTAATACTTCAAGGAACTGTTCAGCACTTCACACCAGCCGACCTGAGCAGACCATTCTATGGCATTGTCATAGCAACGAACAAAGCAGGCTTGAAAACAACCGTTAGTTCGGATGCAATCAAAATTGACTTCACCCCACCCATAGCGGGGACGGTAATTGATGGCGTTGGCAAAGACCTCGACTATCTTAACGACAGTGTTGCCTTGGTTACCACATGGTCCGGGTTCACAGACCCGCAGTCTGGTATCGAGAAATGTAGGCTTACCATCATCGAGGAGGGACCTACCGGACCTTTTCTCGTTCTAAGATTGACGGTCAAAGCAAACGGGTCTATTCCTCATAAATTCATTCTAATACCAGGCATCAAATATGTCGCGACAGTCGAATGCAGAAACCCTGACGGTTTTAAAACCTCAGTTTCTTCTAATGGCGCGATTTGTGACAAGACTCCTCCAATAACGGGTAAAATATTTCACGGAACTGATCGGAATTCCGACATTCGCTATCAGTCTTCTACAAACGCCCTCAGCGTACACTGGAGTCCAGGCAGAGATCCTCAAAGTGGCGTGAAGGAGTATTTAGTGGCCGTAGGAACTGGACCCGATCGCGATAACATACGCGGATTCGCCACGGCTGGCATGGCGACTGATGTGCAAGTCGTGAATCTCACTATGAATTCTGGATCCACTTATTACGTCACGTTAGAAGTTGTGAATAATGCTGGATTGAGGTCACGTGTTTCGTCAAGCGGTGTAAGAGTTGACGCGACACCTCCAATAATAAGCAAGGTAAATATCAGGAATTTGGCCATCCCGCTCAATCTCACTCGATAGAACTATGGAAATTTCAAAAATCTCACACGCAAAAATCTCACATCTTGTAGCAAGTCTGCCAACAAACCGTCAACACGTTATGTTCGCACTGCTTGTCCCAAGCGGACAACAGTTTGGAACAAGCTGTTAACAACATGTAACAACCTTGTTGATAGTATCAGACTTGTTGCAAGGTTGTTCCAACATGTCCGATACAGTCACGACATAAGAATATTGTTACAACCTTGTCCCGTCAATCTTGTAACATCGTCAACCCATCATAGACGGATTTTCTGGGGGGGGTGCAGGGGGGTGCTACCCCTCCAATATTAGCTATAACCCCCCCCCCCCAAACAAAATGTTCACCCCTCCAAAAAATTTTCAACCCCCCACCAATATTCGGCATAATAACTAATTAAATAGTCCACTCCAACGTGCAGAGTGTTGATGATGCAAAATAAACGTAGGAGTACACTCGAACAGAAAAAGACAGTGCAACACTCTGAAACTAATCGCTCCTCGCTTGCATTCACTGGTTTATTGGAGCAATTGTAAAGTTTTGAAACTCTATTATCTCCACTGAATAGAGTTTGCAGTGCCTTGCACGCAAGGAACGTTTGGAATTTTTACGAACACTATTTTTAGTTTTTAATTCTTTTAGGAAATAGACTTGCCTAGATTTAATCTTTACGCCCCAAATATTATTTACGTCGTAGTTGCATCATAAATTGTACTCGGATTCAAACAACACAATGTCAATAACTTTATAAAAGTAAAAGCATATTGTGTATTGGCCTATTGGGTTTACACTTTTATAGGTTCATTTAACTTTAAGTCTTTAACTCTCTCAAGTCTTAACAGACAATCGGACATGCCAAATCCATTTATATGACAAATTGACAACTTCAAAAAACTTTTTTCGAAGCTAGAAATCAAAATACTTTGTTTTCTGCTCTCTAGACTCCCCCTCGCGGCTCTAGTGCTCCACCCCTAGAATATAGACCTTACTGGGATTTGGTGACTCTGTGTTGCTTCAGTCACCTGCTCACGGCTCACCCCCCCCCCTAAAATTTCTGGCACCACCCCAGTAATAAATATGAAAATCCGTCTATGCAACCCATTCATTCATTGCCAGCAACTTTATATTTTTAAATAACTGACATGCCTAGGTACCTTTGTTTTGATAATGTAAGTATGGAATGAAACAAAGTTAACCAAGCATTTAAATTATATATGAGTAATGAATGAGGTCACAATGGCGTTAAAAAAAATTTTTTTGCTAACCTGTGATGTATTTGCAACCATTCGTATTTTACCTCACTCATTTCAGGTAAATCTTCAATCCTCGGACACAGTGCCAGGGTTTATCGGACCAGGATACTACCTGAATGGAAATTGGAACACGTATGACGATGAGAGTGATATAGACTTCACTGAATACTGTATTGGTACAACCACTGGCGGTTGCCAAGTAGAAGACATGAGACGTATGCCTGAAAACCAGACAAGTGTCACTTGCTTTGAATGCAAGCTAAAACACAAGCATACTTATTTCATGACTATACGAGTCTGGAACAAAGCGGGGTTATTTAATTTAGCCACCACAGAAGGGGTAACCGTAGACCTAACCCCACCCACCGGCGGAGAAGTTGTATTAAACCCACCCTACATGCCTTGTTTGGAAACGTGTAGCCTGCGTGCGACAGTCAGTGGCTTTATAGACGAAGAAAGTGGAATTAAAGACTGTGAGTTTATCGTCAAAACTAGCAACGGGACAATTGTGACTCCAGCGCAAACTACAACAAGCCAGGATCATATACTGGCTGCTAACTTGACACTAACACATGGAGAAAGTTACAATATTGTTGTTGCTTGTTTAAACTCGCTGGGGGTAAGAAGCATGGAAGTTGATTCGTCGCCAGTAAGAATCGATAATACTCCACCGGAAAAGGTAAAGTCATTCGCAACTGTAGACGGCGCTCCCAGGATAGTCAGCTCCAGGCGTAATGAGGGGCAAAAATTAAAAGGGCAAAAAATAGAAAATTATGCCCCCACCATGCAAAAGCTGGTATTTGGATAATTAATGGTCAACAGCTAGAAAGAGCATGTCAAAATTAGTACAATTGCAAAGTATGGTTGCGAAATGTTGTAAAATGAGGAAAATATAGCCTTATGAAGTTCACGGTAAAAATAACCACTTTCGGCTCAAAAATGGTTATAACTTTTCACGCGCGTAATACAAATCTATACAAAATTTGCGAACTTCACAGGGGCTATATTTTCCTCATTTTACAACATTTCACAACCAAACTTTGCAATTTTACAAATTTTAACATACTCTTTCTAGCTGCGATAATCGATTTTGTTCTTCTTGCCTAGATCAAAATTTAGTCTATAACTGGAATTGCCAATTACTCATTTAGTTTACTCTGCCCCCGCAAAGCAAGACAAACTTTTGCTAATTTCTCATTTAATCAATTCATTCTTGGGCAACATCCATTAGTGCCACAAATTTTCACATTGATACGTTTGATAATACGTTTAGTAAGTTAGACAGACACACATACAGGGTTTATAAAAAAAGTAATCCAACTTGATTATCCCATCTTAGGGTCTGGTGATAATCAGTCCAGATTCAAACCACGACATACGACATCAGCATACGGGATGTCACTTCCTCAACACAACACTACGTGTTTACTGGACTGGTTTCCATGACAACGAATCACATATTGCTGGATTCCGGGTCGCTATTGGTCGAGCCCCACTGGGAGCGGACATCATACCATATAAAGACTTAAAGATTGACTCGGAAGCTAGGTTTGAGTTAAGTCAGCAATATGGACTGTCTCGAGGTGATACAATATTTGCAACAGTTGAGGCAACAAATCGAGCTGGGCTTATCACAAAAGTTTCGTCGCAACCTACAAGACTTCTATCTGATACAGACAACAACCTACTTAACCAGCAAGATTTTCTATGTGTAAATCTTTGAGAGAAATGATAGCTTTACTAATCTATTGGTCGGTTTCACACTTGCAGTAAAGGTTTTAGGGCAACAGTCATATGATGATAGAAAATAATGACATTTATAGGAGCAAGCAAATTATACTAAAATTCCCAATTCCCCTTAATATTTGCCTCCAAATCAGGGGCATAGGAACGGGGAGCACAGGGGGAAGATGTCCCCCAAATTTTTTCAAAGGACCAAAAGTGCCCTTTTTTGTGATGAAAAGTGCCCTTTTTGTAATCAGACCTGGCAAGGTTTCCGCATTTCGTGTGAAAATTACGCATTCTGCTTTTGTTCCCACTGTCCCGCACGCATAACTAAAATGATTTTAGAGTTATGCAATTTTACCATTATATGAAGCTATCACACTTTTCATGGCATGCAAGCTTACCCGGAATAAATAGTACAATAAGTATAACTCATTGACAATGTGCATATTTTAGCCCAATTTCACCTATGAGTATGGACAATTGTGGAGGAACCTTGGTCAAATCTTACATATTGTTATTAGCAATATCGTTAGAGAAGCCAAGCTGTGAGATTTCATGCATTCTTATCTTCTGAACTTGGCAGGTCTGCAGCTAATGTTGCTGTAAATGCTAAATCATTAACATCAAAGGTACCCTAGTTTTTGTTTGGAAATTTTGATGTTTTAAAAACAAATTTGGTAAAAACCGTTCATTGTACAGTACTTTGCAATTTCGTATGGTATATAACCAAAACATTTTTCTCCCCCCCCCCTTTCATTATCCAAAAGTACTGCCCTGGAAGCCGTGCCACCTCCCCAATCTTTTTATGCTTCCTATGCCCCTGCTCCAAATAAAGACTAATACATATAATAATTTTCTCTCTCTGATAATGGCAGGTCATGATACCATCTCTTGCACAATAGTACTTCATGAAACCCACATTATATCCGAGTTTCAGTTGCACGTCTTGCTAATATTAATAATATTTAAATAAATAGTAGTTATAGTACTTTTAGGTATTAAAATACTTATATAGTTTCATTTATTTTTAATGTACTGTAATATCATTAATGTACTGTAATACCTTGATCATTAGACAAAACACAACGTATTTTAGTACCACTCATGTCTCTGCAGTAGTAAGCTTTTTATAAGTATTAAGCTTTGTGGTGTTGTATTCAAAATTAGCGGCTAATAAACCTTCGCCATGTTGATTTTTATCTGTGCCATCATAATATGCTTACATGAAGTATGCATGCTGATCTCAATGTCATTGAAATGAACTGGAACGCTATCTTCAGATAAACTGCCTTTGGGTCACGATTTGGGCCCTTCGGCTTCAAGAAGGTCAAGACCGCGTGTTTACTGTATATCATGATTACTGGGCCTGGCCCTTACCTAAAACAGTTACTATTAAAGAGAACCAGGATTTAAGACCCTTTCTCCTTTAATAACACTTACCTTGCACGTCCAAGATTACGGAAGCATGTGTCATAGAGCACGAAATAAAACCTACGCTGCTGAAAGTCATGGATCCAAAACAATTTGATTTCATACCCAATTCATATACTACGTGTAAAGCTAAATTCTGACTGTTTTTCAAACTTACTAAAATTGGTCCCTGGCTGTTTTTGGCGATGATCAATGATTTAGCGACACTTGGTAACTCCTCTGACTTATGGAAATTTGCAGATGACACCACAGTCTCGGAAATAATCTCAAAAACCGAAAGAAGTGGATTACAAGAACAAGTAGATCAATTAAATTACTGGTCAAAAGAAAATCAGTTCCAATTTGATTCTAGGAAATGTAAGTAGCTTCAAATAGACCTTACCGATTATTCTCTTTTAGTCTTTTACCGAATACGGCTTCGTTTCCATGTTAACTTATTTTAGCATGTCAGAGGCAGATAAAGATTATATTACCATGTTTTCCTGGACGAATTTGTTTCTTGCTGTTCTTAGGCTCAATAACAAAATAATCTTCAACCCTACTAAGCGCAAAACATGAGTAAGTATTTGACATAAAAACGAGGCCATCGGGTAAAAGAGAATAATCGCTAAAGTCTATTGATTTTAGTAGACATCGGCATACAAACGACTGTCAACGATCAAGCTTTCGAAGTTGACCAGTCTGCCAAAATCTTGGTGTAATTATTTGACAAGACCTCAAATGGAATGACCATATTGCATGTAAACTGCGTTACTTACTGCGTTACTTTGAAAAGAGTACGTGTGGGCTAAAGCCCAAAGATAGTGTTTTAATACCTAATCTAACCTTAAAGCCTGTTCTAAACGTCGTATTTTACATGCGCCGAATGCATTCAAAACAATGTATAATGAGGCATTTCAGCTGATTATCTATTATAATAGTTTTGTTTGTGGAAACACCACGTAAATTTATTACTGCAGAGCTTTCGATCCGTAAGCCGGGATCTTCATCAGTGCTAATAATATGTTTATTATACTATTATATGTTTTATCGCCATGCAAACATACAAAGAACTGATTATCTATTGTTTTGAATGCATTCGGCACGTGTAAAATGCAACGTTTAGAACAGGCCTTAGATATTTTTATTATAAATTTTTAGTAATGCATGTATTATATAGTTCAGTATCATAAAAATTACTTATGTAAAGGACTGCAATGTTTAATTTTTTAACAAACTACTTCTTCTTGTTCTTCAATCAAAGGAGGACGACCCCGAGTCCTTTTTCCTGAACACAAACGTTTTTCCGACAACAATGCCATTCGATGTCATAGGTTCCGATTCAAGCCCGGCGCCATTGATGGCTTTTACGGTGACGTAATATTTACGGCCTTTCACCAGGTCTCCGTGTTTAAACTTCGCGTAATACGCTTTGGCGTTGCCGATCTCTTGAAATTCCCAGACGTCGTCAAGGCCTGGAGACGAACCCCAGCCAATCTCGTACGAGACTACTCCGCTCTCTGGATCATCCGCTGCCCAGTTGCCGAATGTACTATTCATGAATACCTAAAAGAGGGCAGAAGATATTTTTATCATGAAAAGAACACCAAAAAATTTTAAAGGACTTATAAACGATTTTAGAATAGAAGTTGACGCTCAAACAATAAAATATATACAAGAAAGCTAACCTGGAAATCAATATCAGGTCCAATCAGGCCATCTCTGACATAGCGTATTACAGGTGGTGTCGTATCAATCAAAACGCCATCGCTCGATCTCGCTGTACATAGCCCAGCATAATTACACGCCAACACTGTCACATAGTATGTACCATTATGCTGTAACGACAATCCTGTCAAAGTCCTATTAAGGTGGCTCGTTGCATTCTCACACCCCATGATATCATCTCGAAGTGGCCTGGAGCCAATACACCAGAATACATGTTCAATATCACTTTCATTGTCACGAAAATCAATCCAACGCGCACTGATGGATGCAGTATTGTTAGTGAAGTCTAAATCTGTGTCGGACAGGCTACGACTTGAACATTGATGTTCAGAACTGAGGGTCGTATTCGCCGAGCAGTTCCGATTTTCGTCGCTACCTAGGCCGTCGTAGACTAATCCCGGTTCGGGCGAGGTGTTGTCGAGAGAGAACGGAAAGCTATCGGAGATTGTCGTGAGTCCCGAAGCCGACTTCTGGGTAATCCTAATGAAGTAACTCTGCTCCGAACCTGGTAGGTAGAATTCATCTTCTCCAAAGCTGGGCGCTGACTCGGTGACTGTAAGGTTGTAAACATTCTGCATTATCGTTCGGTTGTTGTTCATCCCACACGGATATTTATCACAATGTGAGACGCTGAAATAAAAAACATTCGAACTTTCCAAACAGATACTCCGGCTACAGTTCACGCATTGCTCCTCAAACCCGGGGTATGCCTCTTCCCCCATCCCACATGCAACACACGTCATGCGTTCTCTCTGTCCAAACTCAAACACTTTTCTACGAACGAAATTCCGTGGGCAAAATGAGGTCACATATACGCGGCCGGTGCCCGAATCCACATAATCGGTCGGCCACGTGTGCAGACCAGGCGTCCCAATAACAAGGTATCGGTCAGCCATAGACACTGATGCTCCTATTCGACCATCATCAAACCGTGGGCATTTTCTAGTTACCACTCTACCAACTTGCGAACAACCATTGTCGGGTTCATAAAGCACCAACTCACTCCCATCTCGACCATCAGACATAATTCCGATAGCGGCAACGGTTGTGCTTCCTTCCAGCACATCAAAATTACCACTTAACACAAGAAGTACTGAGAAAACATGCTGGCATCGTTCTATCGCATTAGCTGGTAGTTGTAAATCGAAAACTGTCAGAGTTCGGTCCGGAACAGATAGAACAAATAGTTCATCTTTCGTAGTCAGATACACATTGTTTGCGTGTAAAATGTCATCGGACAATATCTCAGAAAGTGCTGTGTTATTTTGCCAATAATTTTCTGATGCTCTCGAATAGGCATAGATATCAGAACCAACTACAATCAAGAAATTCTTATTCATGGTTATAACCTTGCCAAACGATTGGTCTTTTTCTTCGGATCCCAAAACTTGGTGCAACTTCCACTTATTAGAATCATTTCTAAAAATAGCAACAACGCCGTAGCCCTCTTCTGGATGTTTACCGCTGACCGCGATTATTTCACTACCGTCGTACACAAACTCTTCTCCAACGCTTTCCAAAGAAGACCACCGGTCATCGTTCGTACAATGTTCGGCCGCTTTCGAAGTTGTGTCATTACAATTGGTAATAGCCAAAATCAGTGTGGTTTGGGCCAAATTTTCAGTATTTATTCGGTATGCCAATAATTTCCCGTCACCCGAAACCAAAACGTTGTCATTCATTCCTTTAACCTTAACATAATTGTTATTCATCGTCGAATTAAAAGTTACTAATGTTATAGGCGTGTTTTCATACGACCTTGTCGAAAATACATATGCAGAATCCTGAGATGAAGCAACTATGACGTCATTTTGTAAAACACTTACAGACACACCGAATGCATGAGTTTCTTGAACT